TGATCAAAAGAAAGTCAAGACATTTTATTGTGCTCCAACTATGAAAGGCTAAACCTCAAATTTTTATGTGGACTTCCTGAGTCTACCATGGAAAAACAAAACTCTTATATGGAATTTGGGGCATAAGGCAAAAATGTTTCAGTAGAATGCTTTGCTTATTCCAAAGAAGTATCTTTCCTTTTTTTCCTCCAGACTGGAATGTATCAAAAATATGTGAGGAAAATCATGTGGAGTTTCCTGTTCTATATGCAGGAATCTTTATAGTACAGCAAACAATATGGCCTGTATTTATCACGGAGAAAAAAGGAATTCGGCATGATGATGAAATCTGGATCATCAAATGTGGCACCACATTTAATAAAAGCTGGTCCATGATCTTCATAAGTAAAGTGGAGGCTACTCAACAGTTTGCAGCCTGGAGAACTCTCAAATTTAGTCTCCTTGGTTCTGTAGGAAGTTAGCACCCACCCCTCTCCTAGAAAATTGAAATATCATAGAAATATTAAAAAGGCAGAATATTTCCCCTAAAAAGAGTAGAAACTCAGAAGCAGAAACTCACCTCAGAAGTAGAAGCTCACTCCCACCTTTGTTAATGGGTGGGCCATTAAGGCCTGGGTCTTATTTTACATAATAAAGATCTCCAGGTAAAGCTATAGCAATTGCCCATGGCCCTTTTCATTACATCATCATCCTGCAAGGCTCAACCAAGCCTGGAACTCAGGACAGCCTACAGAGTTGCCCCTGCATGGCCCCATGGGAGTCTGATAACCAACCAGAATACAAGCTCAAATTCAAATTTCAACAGAGAGTATAAAACCAGGCGCAATCAGCATCTCAGCCTTTCCTTCTCTTTTCCTTCACCTTGAAGTATGTGATCATCCTTCCTTCCTTTGGAGCTCCAAGCCATGTGGTCCTGTCCACCATTAAACCATCTTTCCAAACAGCCTCCATGTTTCCAGTATCTTTTCCTCCCACTTGGAACTGAACCCAGAAGGATAATTCTTCCAACAGTTCAAAGCTACTTCGTGTTCTCACCAGTACATACCAGCTAATGGCCCTCCCCTCCCCCACCCCAATTCCTGATTTTTGTTTCAACAAAGAAAAAAATTAGGGACAGGCAGAGAAACTGGAAATAGAACTAGAGCATACAAAACATTTGCTAGACCAATACTTGAATACAGCTCATCAGTCTGGAGCCCACATTATGTATCTGATATTAGCACAATTGAGAAAGTCCAGAAATATTTCACAAGAAGAGTTCTCCACTCCTCTACTCGTTGCAGAATACCTTATGCCACCAGACTTGAAATTCTAGACCTAGAAAACCTAGAGCTACGCCGCCTTCGGTCCGATCTAAGTATAGTACATAAAATTATACATTGCAGTGTCCTACCTGTCAATGAATACTTCAGCTTCAAGCCATAACAATACAAGATCAAACAATAGATACAAACTCAAGGTTAACCACACCAAACTTGATTGCAGGAAATACGACTTCAGCAAGAGAGTGGTGAATGTCTGGATACTCTACCTGATTCTGTGGTTTCTTCCCCAAACCCCAAAAACTTTAACCTCAGACTGTCTACTACTGACCTCACCCCTTTCCTAAGAGGTCTGTAGGGGGCGTGCATAAGCGCACCAAAACGTGCCTACCGTCCCTGTCCTATTGATTCTTTTTATTACTTATATGTATCCATGTATTGATAACTATGTTTATACTTATACCAGTTATCTTGTAAGCAATTGACAAATACATAAATACATAAATTCTGTTGAGAACTGACACAGAGACAGAAATAATATTTTCCAGAATACTTCAAGATCTGAATAGCAATGTGAACCAGAACAATAAGAGCCCAACTATATTTTGCGTTAAACATATAGCATATCCCCCAATATTTTTTTAAAAAAATAAAAATTAAAGAGGGAAGCAATCTAAATAAAGGTGATGTAAAATGAAAGACGTGGCATTCAATGCTGCCCTTCTTCCCCAAGTGCATTATCTTCTGTAAGGCAGTGAGAGTTTTACTAAATTTTATCCCTCTGGATAATTCTACCTTGGAGAAATCGGGCTATGAAGAGAAGTTGAAATCTCCACTTCTCTTGGATTGGCATCATCATCATCATCTTGATTATTATCTCTTCACGTTTTGAGTAAAGGCCGCACAGCTGTGTATGAAATAATGTGCAGCTTGATACTTTAAACTTTGGAATTCTAGAATCTGATCTGGAGCTGTCATCAGGACCAGAGGTTTAGGTTTCCAAAATTTCAGACTCATGCTGTAACCCATTCTCGGGAAACTTCTCTCCAAAGCGTCCTTTTGGCTGGTGCCTCTCACGTCCTATTCTATGTGTAATATTTATGTGGTGTCTGGTTGGGTGTAGCTTCTTATTAGTTGATTGGGGTGTTGATGGCTGGCTATTAGATCATTGGCTGTTGTTTCCTTTTGCTGCTAAGTCCTCAGCTCCTAAGTACCTGATAAGCTGGTGACAAATCAGCACTCCTGTTGACTGATGAGGAGCCCGTTTCTTGGGCTTCAATCATTTCCCTGGCTGTTTTTGCTCCTGCTCAGCCAACAATCTAAGTAGCTGTGAAATTGAACGTATGTCCTTGTTCACTGCGGTGTGTGGCTACCAGTGAGTTTGGCATCTCCTCATCTGACCGCTCACTTGTATTCTTGCACTTTGGTGGTTAGCATCTTCCCCGTCTATTCTACATAGTCACAGGGCCAATCTATGCAGGGGATCCGGTAGGTTACATTAGAAACATCTTCCACCTCCAAGCGATCTTTGCAATGCATGATTTGTCCCCGTATGGTAGCCTCCAGGTGGTGTGCGATGCCAACTTGCAGATTTTGTATCTCTCCCTTTGGGGCTGTGTAAATACTCCAGTATTATTACAGTGGTTCTGGAAAGTTCTGTCCTTTCGACATATAGGTTTGAGATAAATAAATATATAGATTTTCAGAGATTGACATTCAATCTTCTTCCCTTTTTTTATCTCTTGCTTATTATTCATGTCTCTCTCCCTACTTTTGCCTATGGTTTTGTTGTTGTTGTTGTTGTTGTTCCCTTTTTGGCAAAGAACTGTTTTTGATGTTGGCCAATAAATAAACACCAAGCTATATTTTTGGCTGGCTGGCTGCTCTGATCCGGATTGACTGGGAGTATGATGGGGTGGAAATTAAACTGGAAATGTATTTTAGGAATTTTCTCATACTTGCATGTGCCAGCCATGAACACACACACACACACACTGGTGATAGTCCCTGGTGAGAGAATGTGTACATGTAGACACAGATGTGAGATATTATGCGGAAGAAAATACAGTCGCCTCCTATGATGGCAGCTAAAAAGCAGATGGCAGCATTTCCATAGGTTACGCTCTGACATGTTCCCTTACCTTATTCTCTTTGCTTATTTTACCCATTGAAGCAAAAGGGGTTTTTTTGAGACACTCATCCTTTCCAACTAGGCCTTGCAAGAAAGTTGATAAGTCAACCATCCCACTCCTTCATCTAGCAAAGAAAGACTCCTGGCCCATTGTTTTACCAAAAGAATACTCTACGGAAGCCCTTAAGTGGTCACAGAAGTAGTGAAGCTGGATTTGGCATTTCGCGAGCAAATGATACAATTAACTTTTCCTTTTCCCCAGCCATGTTATCCTGTTAACGCCCAGTTAGGTGTTTGTATATTGTTTGGGTAATGGACCGTCAGTTCATGGGCTTTCCAGTTCTGCATTCTGATGGTTGACCTTGGGCTTGGCTGGTGCTTCTCACACCTTGAGCCAGCATGGCTTGGTTTCCATTCCCCCACTACCTCCTCCCTACATTCCAATCCTCTTTTCCCTCCCCCCCTGTTGCTAATGTCAGACTTGTGATGGTTGGCTAGCAGAAGGGAATCCATTAGATGATATTTCAATGTCCCCATATTATCAGGCATACTTATGCGTGCAATACATGAGTTCCTAGTCAAAGTCCAGGCTGATTTCATAAACATGGTGTCATGGCATTGACTCCTCAGGAATGAACACAGAGGTGGGTATTCAGCAGGTTCTGATCAGTTCTGGAGAACCAGTAGCAGAAATTTTGAGTACTTCAGAGAAGCGGCAAATACCGCCTCTGACTGGCCCCGCTCCATCTATTCTCTGCCTCTTGAGTCCCAGCTGATCGGCTGGGTCTTCTTTGGTTGCCCTGCACAGGAGAATGGAGCTGGAAAGCAGCTTAGTGGCGTGGGGAGGGAAGGGGGATTTTATAGTAACCTTCCCCCAGGAGTGGGGACGGAATGGAGATTTTACAGTACCCTCCCCCTGCCATGCCCACCAAGCCATGCCCACAGAACGGGTAGTAAAAAAAAATGGAATCCCACCACTGAATGAACAACATAGGTTTTAGCCATATTGGATTCGTAATTTCCATCTGCTAAATTATAATTCAAGGCTCTTTCATCAGTTATGCCTTGGCCTTAGATCTGGATGCTTTGAGCGGGATGATTCTCATATAGAAGGAGGCCAGATGGACTGCAGTCTAAATAATGCTCCTTTCCTATTCCATGCCAGAATTCAAAATACCCCATTGCAAGTTTCCCAACAAACCTGCAGGACTCAGTTGTGAGTCTGTGGCTTGCCTGATCAAAAGTGGAGGTGTTCAGGTAGCAAGAACGAGGTTCGGAAATGATAAGGAAAGGAAGCCTTGGGCTATACTGTAGGGATCTCGGCTAAGCTCGCTTAGTTCCTATCTGCTTCCAGCCAGAGTTGCAAAATGGAGGGAAAATACTTCTCGGTGAACAGTCAAGGCTTGGAGTGAAGAATGCATTGATGAGAGAATGCAGCAAAGTGCTCCCTCCACCCCTTTCTTTCTCCTCCTCCTCCTTTTCTCCCCAAATGTGAGCTTGTTGCCTGTTATTCAACTCTGTTTTGTTAAATTAGAGAACAGAGCGTTTTTTATTCCTTCCCAGAAGTGGCCTTTTCAGATTCTGTAACTGCGTGTTCTAATCCCCAGGAAGTCAGAGACCAAGATCAGTCACGACTGGACTCCATGGTGCTACTCATTCTGAAACTGGATCAGCTGGATCAAGATATTGAAAATGCTCTCAGCGAAAGCTCCTCGCCTTCCGGCACTTTGACACAACCACAAAAACCCATCCTTGTAAGTCTGGTTGCTCAACCTTTTTTTTCCCCAGTTGTTTATATTTACTTGCCACGTTTTTCTTGTTGCTTCTTTTTCTTTTCTCACCCCCCTCACTGTCCTTTCAGCTCAAGTATCTGCAGTTTCCAAAACCTAAAAACCAACACAGATTTCTTGCTCTGATTCCTAGATCTAGCGCTGTCTTCCAGAGGCACAGAAGTACTGTTCTCATTGTGCCTCCTGGGAATTCTAGTCTAGAATATCTGAAGGCAACAAGACAGACCTGGTTTCTGTTTCTGCCTTTTTGGTCTTTCTCCATGCTTGACTCTTAGACCAAACCTGGTCTAAGCTTTGCAAACTTGCCAGAGCTTCTCTATTTTTAAAGGTGGAATTAAAGTCAAACCAATCACATGATCTGATGTAGTTGGTGCTGAATTGGAAATGCTTTGGAACTGTGAGATGCAGTTTTCCTCAGTTTATCTATTATACATTTGAAACAAGTTTCAGGGACCACTTAAAAATCCTACCTTTCTAAAAAGAATTTCAGTGTCTGGCCCCAAATAAGTCCACCCAGATTTATTGTGCCCAAAGGATTACAGAGAAAGGATAAGTAATTATTTCTATACTATTCAATAATACTTAGGAATTGGATTGAATCGGGTGCTATTTAAATTGATTGAATTAAATTTCATTAGATTGTGGAAAATATGATACTGTTATTGCAGAGATTCTGCTACGTACAGTACTTGTTTATTGAGTTCTTTAAAGCACTTACATCTTTCACTATAAGTCCTCCCAAGAAAGGCTACAGAAATTAACTGTATAGGTAAAGCAAGATAATTGAATGACAGGTGCATATTGCTAAGACTAAGCAGGAAGAAAATGAGCTAATCACTTGTAAATTTCAAGATTTTGGCATATTTTGAATGATTCCCTATAAGAATTTTTTTCTTAGCTTATGCAGCTGGAAACATGCATTTGATTATTATATCTTTTTTAAATGCATTGTTACCCATAATTTGAAATGGCAAATACTTCATATGCACCCTCTATAACCCAATAAACAGTTTGATATGCACGTCCTACAGTATTCAAAGGGTCTTCATTGTGTGCAATGACTGTATGTTGGCTTGTGATCCTTCCTGTAAATAGTACAGCGGGCTTAAAACCCTGGGAAAAAAAAAAGAATGTTATCATATGTTGGTTCACATTTTAAATGGAAAAAAGAAGCAAGAAGAGACTTCACCTGCATGAGGTTTCATCTGATGATGTCACTCCAACTGGCTAAAGATTTCCAGATGTTACAAGAGGTTTCAAACGCTTCCAAAGACAAAAGATGAAGATATAATATGATACGCACAGGAATTATCAGGAGAAAACAGGCCAGAATTTTGAAACTCCAAACTCCTGAACAAAATTACGTTTATTCTTTTCTTCTTGTAGGACAACAAAGCTTTGATCTTTAAAATACTGTTCAGGAACAGAAGAGCAGATATATAGACAGCACTGTTAGTACAGTAAGGCAGGGGGGAAGAAAATGAATATGCTTTAATGTACTCCGCAAAGTTAACAGCACAACAGCAAAAAGAATTTGGCTTCTCTTTTAAAGGATTCAGAATCACTTCCTGGAGGCTCAGTCGACATTATTCCTTTAAATAACCAGCAAATGAACATACCATCACCTCTTCTACCTCCTCTTCTCTATGGTGCAGATAAAGCATTTCCTATTCCAATGGCTGGTTCTGGAGCAAAACCAAAGACTAAGGTGAGCTAAAAGAAAAAGTGTAATGTGTATGTGTGTGCTGGGGGAGGGTGTATCTCAAACCATGGTTCCATCCTTATACATTCAGGTATAGTTTATTTTTGAAGAAACTAGGATATTCCATAATGTCAAAAATCTGTGGTGCAGGTTCTTTTTTTTTTTCCCTGGTTCAGTACCAGAACAAAAGGTTTTTTTAAAAAAAAAAAAGTCAAGGTATTTGGAAAGTTGGCAGTCAGTGCACCCAGAAAGTAATGGTTATACCTATTAGATTTTGGGGTATATATGAACAGGGGTGGGATTCTACCAGTTGGCACCTATTCGCTAGAACCGGTTGTTAACATTCTAAGCAGTCTGGAGAACTGGTTGTTAGAAGAAATTACTGGCCTAATCCTGTAAGGAAGGCAGGAAGGAAACATTCTGGTGTTGCTTACAGAAACTGCCTCTCTGTTAACCCTTATTACATTCTTGGCAGGACTAGACTTCCTGTCTCAGGAACTTCTCTGGAGTTTTTTTTTCCCTCCTTTGCTGGTACTTTGCTTGTGTGGAGTGACCATTCAAAGTTACAATGGCACTGAAAAAAGTGACTTATGACCATTTTTCACACTTACAACTGTTGCAGCATCCCCACAGTCATGAGAGGTCAGGCGAGGAGATGCGTGCCTCAATGTGAGTGATGTTGAGTTGGCCACGCCCAGCCAATAACATGACCACCAAGCCTTGCCCACCAACTAAGCCACGCCCACAGAACCAGTTGTTAAAAAATTTGAATCCCACCCCTGTATATGAACCACTATCACAGGCATTGTTGTGGCCTACTGGCGGCTGGCGGAGCTGGCAGCAGAGTCGGACAGTAGTAAGGAGGTTGGGGAAGAACCTGGAGGCTGAGGAAGGCTTGGATGTGGGCTCTGCATCAGAGGCAGAGATGGGGCCAGGGCAGGCTGGCAGTCATCAGCTGCCTTTGGGCTTGGACAGCAGTGAGGCGGGGGAGCTAACCGGTTCCCAGCTTGCGCATACACGGAGCTGCCAAAAGGAAGGCACAATTAAGAACTCAGGGTCGACATGGGAATAAGGCCACAGGTGGATGATGAATGGCCCCTCCCATCAGGTTGAAAAGAGAAGTAAAAGAGGACGGGGTCTTGCAGGAAACTACTTGCTCGTTCGGTCGTTTGTTTGTTCCAGCCTCATGGAACCCAGCCCTTCCCTGCCAGCAGTGAGTGTGGAACTATTTACCAAGCAGCGTTCCAGGATTGATAAAGATCTAAGCTCATTAGTATACCTTTGCAAGACTGTTTGCCAAGCTGTTGGCTGACTGTGAATGAAATTCACATTAACGTAATAAAAGAGGTTTTTACCGGGACTCAGAACTGACTTAGTGCTTTGGGTGGAAGCCTAGGACAGAACAGGCATTATGTTCCACACAGCTATTATTATCTTGGGGATGTAGATTATTTATTAATTATAATAACTAGTAAATCAAAATGACTGCATGCAGTTCCTTATTTTAGCCATATATTTTCAGAAGATATCCTAGTTTTTTTAAAAAAACTATAATAGCACTTAGCACAAACAATAATATTTAAGACTTATATACCACTTCACAATGCTTTACATCCCCCTCTAACCTGTTTACAGAGTCAGCATATGGCCCCCAACAATCTGGGTTCTCATTTTACCCACCTAGGAAGGCCGAGTCAACCTTGAGCCAGTCAGAATCGAACTGCTGGCAGTGAGCTGAAATTAGCCTGCAATACTGTGTTCTAACTACTGCGCCACCACAGCTCAGTGGTGAGAAGACAATAGTTTGTCTTCTTCCCTTAACTTGTCAGAATAGGTATGTTACTAATACCTTTGAAATCCTTTGACATGTTACTTTTTAATCTTAACAGGAATTCTGTGGTTCTTCAAATGCTTACTTATTTGGGTAATGAATTGAAATCTGACTTATTATCTTTTTATAGTAACTGTACTAAAATTATGATTACAACAATAAAGAACTAATACAAAATAAACAAATAAAAGAATAAAAAATAGAAGATGTAAAAAAATGAAATGAAACAAAAAATAATAGTATAGTAAAAATAAATAAATATATAAAAACTGACTTACTGTTCATCATATCTATAAGAAATTTTAGTAATTTATTACTTTCTCTTAAAATACAACAAATATCTCTTCTTTCCATATCCCAACTCTTATCAATAATCAAATCCTTAAAATCTTATCATTTCAATCCTGATCAATAAAAGCCCATTAAAGATTACCAAAGATAACAACATATTTTATGTTAGCTTTGATCAAATAAATCAACCCTTTTGCTTTTAGTAATCTTGATTTTACTCCTATAAAGTAATGTCCTAAAGCTTGGTTTCTTTTCATTGTTTAATGTCTTTAAACTTGTATTTTCAAATTTATTTTACTAAGAACTGAAGGAAATTAACCTAGTGCTATAAAGCTTATTGACGCAAAGTTTCCTAATAATAAAAAAGCAGTTAATAAGCTGTTAGCAACATTAATAAGTTATTTTCAAAGGAAATATGTGAAACCAATGTCCTTTTGAAGGTGTCAACTGTGATTTGAGCAAGATGGCTTCTTCCTCAACTTCCAGACTCTAAACCTCCTGGCAACTGTTTCATCTGCTTTCCTCATGAGGGGCAACTCCCTGGAACACAATTCCCAGAGAGGAATTACAAAGTGCCAGTCTATTTGCCATTTCTTCATTCCAGTTGCTGGCTCCACTATTTTTTTAAAATAAAGTTTTATTTGGGTTTTCACGCATACAAAATACAAATAAAACATGTTTTTTGAAAATAGCATGGTCCCGGGTTGAACTTCTTTATACAGACACAAAACTCAATTTCATGCTCCTTTTTGTGTTCTATTCCATATCTTATACTATTTTACATTTTCTATATAGTTTTTCCCCTCTTTTAATTTTCTCAATTTTATTTTGATTATCTCATCTCAAATCATTATATTTATACTTTTGTCTGTTCTGTTTCAATTTCATATTAACTTTTCTCATTAAACAAATTTTCTCCTGTAGTTACTAATTGGAGTATGACATCTTTATATCTTTTAATTACATCCATTCAACTCTTATTTAAACTTCAATATATACCTTCAATATAATACATAATACATAACTTCCAATCGAATTCTGCTTGGTACATTCTTATAATACACACTATATTCTTTTTTTTAAAAGATTATAAATATATGTAATTATAAACCCTCATTCCATTCCAATTCAGTTCTATCATTAATAATCATTAAAATATTAACATCTTTAAGACTTCTTTTCAATTAAATATCATACTTCCTTAAAGACACATATAATCTCCATAATTAATTTTTCCGTTATTTCTCTTCACATATGTTTTGTAAATCATTTAACATTCATTTATTTATTGACAAGCATTCCACTGAATTATGATAGCTATTTTATCAAACATTTTAATCATACATTGTTTCATATTTTCTAAAATTATTTCTGTTTCTAATATATCAATACTATCTTATGTACCTTTGCAGAATCCCCTTTTCCATTAAATTTTCACCCATTATCTCTAAATAGGCTCTGTTTCTCTATATTTTGTTTCTGTCCTTTATAACTTCTTTTCCTTTCTTTCTTCCCTCTATTCTTCTCCCTCCCCTTTTTACCCCCTTGTCTCTCTACTTCTAATTCTCTCTTCTGCATTTCCCTCTTCTGCTGCTTTCTGATTTTAAACTTATTTTTCACTCTATTTTGGGGGGAGTTGTTTTTCCCAATCTTAAACTTTCCATTCTCTTTCCCCACTTTCCTTTTTTTCCCCCACCTAAAATTATTTGTACATTAAAGATGGCTTCTTCTTTGTCGCAATCTTCTTGTTCTGCAGGCATTTCTTGTTGTTTCTCATAGTTCCAAATCTCCATTTCTAAAAACTGAAACACAAAGCCAAAAGAACCTCTCCCTTCTTGTGCATCTTCTTTGTACTTTTTAAGTTCCATTTTCAGTTCTTTTAAAAGTGGAGCCATTTTAAACAGTTTTAAACAACCATCCAATTGATTTTAGTCATTCAAATACAATAACCAAAAATCCAGAAATCATCAAGTAATCGAAATAGTTCCAAGTTATTTCTTCTTATTTCTTTTTCCACTTTCTCTTCCTGGGGTTTTTGTTGCGATATTTCAGTTAAAATGTATCTTTTGGAAGTCTTGTTGAGATTTTGCTATAAGTTCTTTTTTAATTCCAGGCAGTCTCCTCCCTTCCAGATCCTGCCCTTTTATTCTTTTTCTCTCCTTTCCTGTTTTCAAAAGCTTTTGATTATCCAGAAGTCTTTATTATCCCTTTGACTTTTTATTTTCAGCATTAAATGCCTATTAATGTCAAAGTGGATTTTTTTTCCAATTTCTTGCTTAAGTCTCTTAGCTGTCAGTATAGGAAAAGGAGGAAAAAAACACAAATCTTTTCCCTTTTCCCTCTCCTTCGCAGCTTAAAAATCTTTTTAGGGAACAAGGTTATTGTTTTTTTTTTAATAGTTTCAATTCCACGGTACCTTATTTGTTGCTTTTGCTGTTTGACCCGGTCAACCAAAACTTTCTCTTCTTATCTTCCTCCTGCACATTCTTTTCCGGTCGAGTTCTTCTTTGTGGTGGCCATTTCTGACCACCGCTACAGCTGCCTTCGGGAAAGGGAGTAATGGCCAGCTGGGGAGGAGAGATGTGGCTCTCCTCAACCCTGCAGGCAGTCTCCCCCCTCTTCACCACCTCTACGGGATGGCTTAGCCCCAAAATCAGCCAGCTCGGGGTGCTCCAGTGGCGAGCATGGATCGAAGCCTAGCAGAAACAAGGTTTCAGTCTGTCGCCGAAGAAGCTCAAACCGAAAGTCCCCCCATTGTTGGCTCCACTATTGAGGAGCCATTTTCCTTTCACCATTTCCCCCCTAGAAAACTAACTTTAATCTTACTCTCATGAGAAATGCTTTGAAATAAACTTTAATAAAACAAAATCGTGTCAAAACCATT